GACGAAAGAGGGGGAGGCCTTCAACGAGATGGATTGATACGGTGGCTGCAATGATGAGCTCAAGTATAGCAGGGATTGTGGGGCTGGTGCAGGATCGGGCAGTGTTTCATTCTGCTGTGCATGGGGTCGCTATGAGTCGGAAACGACTTGACGGCACTTAACAACAACAACAACAAAAAATATTGGCTTGAGGGGTGGTGTTTAAGTCACTGGTTCCAGAGTCAACTGCTAGGGTTTCAATCTCAGCTCCTTACCTAATTTGCTGACTTTGGGAGAACTGTGTAGCCTCTCTGAACCTCAGTTTCCTCATCTATAACATGGGACGACTTATAGAACCAGTCTCATAAAGTCATTGTGAGGAAGCACCTAGAACCATGCCAGAGACACAGTAAATGCTCAGTAAATAACGATTGTGATTATTAAGAGGGTGAAAGAGAGATTAAGTAACAGGGAGTGAGAAAATGAGAGGGAAAGAGGGAGACTGAAAGACAGTGGTGGAGGAGGAGTGTGGTAGGGACAAGGAAGCAGCGTAGATTGCAGATGGAGAGGAGGGGCCCAGAAGAGGCAGCAGAAGGAGACAAAGGTGAGTGTTGGGGGGAGGGGAGAGGAGCAGGGCCTTGGACCTCTCCTATGGGCTACTGGGAGAGGCCATTGTGCTGGTTATGTTTGTGTGTCAACTTGGCTGGGCCTGGTTGAATGACTAGGCAGCTGGTGGTAGTTATTCCCCATGATGACACTGGCAATCAACTCCATGGTGGGATCTACCGTGAGCAGCTGAGTAGCTGTTTTGGGTATGTGGTCTGCTTCCCGTATATAAGAAGCAACTTTGGGAATGGTCTCTAGCTTGTGGCACACTTGAACCCTGCATGTAGCCGTGTCATTGTTCAGCAGCCTGCCATTCTCTGCTGACCTGGGGACTTGCAATGGACTTGAATTAATAGCCTGTGTGTGGTGTGGTTTGGTAACTTCGGGACTGTGCCTTTTTATTTGTTAACCTTGGGCTTGGCGGCCTCAGCAGCCAGCAGTTGTCTGAGTGAAGAAAAGCCTCTAGCTTCCGTGGGCCAGGAGCTGGAGGCAGGGCTGAAGCCCAAGGCTGAGGGGCTTTCACCCAGTCCCTAAAACTTGGCACTATGAACTTGGACTTAAAGCCTCCAAACTGTTAGAGAATAAACTCCTGTTTGTTAAGGCCATCTCATTTGTGGTATATTCTTGTCAGAGCCGCACTAGGTAACCAGAACAGCCACTGTGAGATGGGGCTGGCCAAGAGGAGGGGAGCACGGGAGCCCCCTGAGAGCAGGAACAATGCCCTGCATCCATCAGCATCCAAAGTTGTGATCAGCCCAGGCCTGGGACACAGGAGGTGCTCAAAAGATGCTCTCAGACGTGATAATTGAGACCTCTGGCCCCTCTGATCTCCAGGCTCTCTTGCCCAGGCATTCTGGTGGTAGCCACGGTTACCTGCTGAGCTGCTCCTGCAGGCCCTTCAGCTCCCCCTCCTGCTCCCTCAGCAGCTGTTCCTGGTGCTGGGCCAGCTCCTTGACCTTCCAAAGTTGATGTCTGAGGCTCTGAAGAGGAGAGGGGTGTAGAAGGGAAAGGGAAGCTGAAGGAATAAGGCAGAGACTCCAGCCCAGGGACTGACTTGAAGAACATCCCCATGAGATTCCAGCCATGGGAGACTAGCCCTTGGGTGGAGGGCAGGGCTGGGAGCTGGATGTCTGGCTCTATTCTAGCCCATGCCCCTGGGAGGGCCTGAGGCTCCATTTCTTCCTTCAGAGGAAGGAAGTGACAAAGCTCAAGGACCTGGACGAAATCTTTCCACAGAGGAGGTTGAAGGCAGGCTCTGTAACAATATAGGGTAACTTCCAGGGCAGCATTTATAACGCTTCTCACCTCAACTAGGTGAGGTCTGCAACAGCAGAATGTAGGGACTGGGAAAAATCTGCCAATGAAAAGGAGTATAGGGCTTGAAAGCACATGATTGCTCCAATGCATTGTTACAAAGAGATCTCAAACTCAAATGTCTATAGGGGTTAGGCAGGCAATACAAATGCATAAAGTGGGCCTGTAGCATAGTGCCTAAGGCACTTGACTGCTAACCAGAAGGCTAGCAGTTCAAACTCACCAGCCACTCCTTAGAAGGAAGGTTGGGCGATCTATTTCCATAGTGATACCTCAGGTCCGACTCAACGGCTAACAATAACAGTGTGAGGCAGTAGGGAGAGGTGGAGACTATGGTGAACTGAAGAGCACATGGCTTTCAAAAGACCATCTTTTGAATCTAATCTTGAGTGGGGTAATAAAAATGGATTTGTAGATTGGAGCGGCTGCCAGGCTGCCAGTGGAGAGCACTGTCTGTGGGCCAGATTAGAGAGAGGAGAACAGAGACATCCAGAGCCAATTGTTCTCACCTTGACCAGATCCTGCAAGGGTGCCTCTGCTTGCTCCTCTCTCCTGGCCACACTGGTCACTGCTGCCTGCTCTTGTGGCTTTCCTGTGGTGAAGCTGTCCCATTTTCCCAGGCCCTGAAGGACCCAGGGCTCCCCCAGGATGCTAAGCACTTCTGCCTGCTGCCTGCTTCTCAATGTTGCTTCCTCTCTTGTCTGTCTTGGGTTGGAGGCTGACAGCTCCTGGATATGACACTGCTCTGCTTCCCCGTCATGAGTTTCCTCTATTGGAATCTGACCTTCTGCTCCTAGAATGAGTCTTCTGCCCTTGGCTTCTGTCCCTATTACCGCCTTTGGAGCTCTGTTATTCCCCTCCCCCTGTTCCTGGATACTAGATAGTGAGTTCTGTAGGCAAATCCCAGGCCTTGGGGCTCCCTTGCTTTGGTCTTGCTGAAGCTCCTCCTCCTCCTCAGGTTCCCACATACTTTGGGGGGCTCTGGCGCTCCTGAGATCTCTCTTCCTTTCCAAAAGGGGGCTAAGATGCCTGTGGAGCTGGGATCCAGGAAGTCTCATCACACAGTCTTCCCTGGGTGCATCTCCCAAACAGCTGGCTTGGGTGGAGTGTGGCTCTTCCCTATGGAATTCTTTGGGGCCTCCACATGCAGCTGTGATCTGCAGAGAAGCCCCCAAAACTGTCACCCTGATGAGCACTGATTCAGTGACCCTGGGGTATGGAAGAAGCCACAGCTGTAATCTAATGGACTAGCCAAATATATGGATGGCCAGGCCTCCCCCCACCCCGCAGCGGAAAGTTTGATTCAACTGTCTGGGGAAAGACCCAGGAATCGGAATCTTTGCAAACACCCCCGGTGATCTCTGATGCCCACTTTGATCTGGGAAGGTCCCAGCAATGCTTCTCAAAACACTTTCCTCCACTTCTCTAGCCCTCAGGCTGCTTGTCATGGCTTCTGCATTGATCTGGTTTCCCCTAAGTTCCTCCCATCCCTCTTTCTTGGTCCCACCTCCTGAACTTGACTTCTTTGTGCCTTTGTTTTCTATCTGCAAAGTGGGAATAATAATACCTACTTTGTAGGTTGTGGTGAAAATTTAAATAGATGGAGACCCAGCTAAGAGTCACCTTTTTCAAGAAGCCTTCTCTGTCTCCCACGTTCCCTGCACATGTTTGTATCACTATACTTCATATGTTATGTTGCACTGGGTGCCTTCAGGTGTCTGTCTCTCTAAACAAACTATGAACTCCATGAGGCTGGAGACAGGATACTGTAGTATTTAAAGCTGTGTGTCAACTTGGTTGGGCCTGGTTGCGTGGCTGGGCAGCTGATGGTAGTTATTCCCCATGATGAGACTGGCAATCAACTCCATGGTGGGATCTACCACAAGCAGCTGAGTAGCTACTTTAGGGAATGTGGTCTGCTTCCCATATATAAGAAGCAGCTTTGGGAATGGTCTCTAGCTTACGGCACACTTGAACCCTGCATGTGGTCGAGTCGTTGTTCAGCAGCCTGCTATGCTTTGCTGATCTTGGGACTTTCAATGGACTTAAATTAATGGCCTGCTGTGTGGTAACATCAGGACTATGCCTTTTTACTTGTCAATCTTGGGCTTGTCAGTCTCAGCAGCCAGCAGCTATCTGAATGAAGAAAAGCCTCTAGCTTCAGTGGGCTGGGAGGCAGAGCTGAAGCCCGAGGCTGAGGGGCTTTCACCCAGCCTCTAGAACCTGGCACTTTGAACTTGGACTTAAAGCCTCCAAACTGTAGGAGAATAAACTCATGTTTGTTCAAGCATCCCATTTGTGGTACATTCCTGTCAGAGTGGCGCTGTTGTTGTTGTTGCTGTATAGTACCTGGTGCCTGAAAGTTGGTAGGGGTGCAGTATATGCCTGGAAAAGGATGATAACAACAATGACAAGCACGTGCTCTTTGCTACACATGGGTTGTCTCAATTCGTTCTCACAATCACCCTATGAGGTAGGACAGGTAACTTCCCCAAGGAGTATAGTTAATAAGTGGTGGGGCTGAGATTTGAACTGGCTGTTAGTCATTATCTGAACTGAGATGAGATGTAAATTGTCAAGTGTAGGAGATTCCACAGAGCTTGGCTCCCTTGTGCATCTCCTGTAAGCATTTCCTTTACACCCCCTCCTCCCACGGGCTGCCATGGCTCCTGCTAGTGTGCCCTGTCTCTCCTGGTATCACCACCCCCTTAGGAGCACAAGTCCTCTCTTCCCCTGTGGCTCCCTAGCCCCCAGGTCCACATGTTGACCTCTCTGTGTCTGTCCAGGTAGGTCAGGGCTCAGTAACTGCTTAACCTGGGGAGGTCCCAACAGAGTTGGAGAAAAGGCAGGACAGAGGACAGTGGGGAAGAGGCACCTCCTTTGGGGAAACTTTGGTCCTTCTGGGTCTTCTTCCCTGGGTTTGCTTGGAGTTGGAGCAGCGTGACCTGAAAGTGAAAGGGTCAGGGGAACCCCTAGGCTTATCTCTAGTGGTGGACTTGGTCCTCAGACATAGGAAAGCCCATCACCTGTCACATACTCATTCTACTATACTTCTTGCTCCCCCTACCCTCACGAATCCCACTCTCTATCCATCCATCCATCCCACCCTCCTCTATCCATCCATGCATTCCATCCAATAGCTCATCCTCTATTCATCCATATATTTCACCCTCTTTCATTCATCCATACATCCTACCCCAACATTCCAATCTAGTCATCCTTCGAACCCTCCACCTTGATGACTCAAAAAATCTTTAGTGACTGCATATTCTGTGAAGTGTCATGGGACAGCATGAGGTTACACTGGGAAAATAGAAGGCTAGGAGAGTGGAGGACCAAGGAGTAAGACAGGAAGGAGGGTCAGACGGGGCTAGAGGCTGAGAGTTTGAGGCTTGTTTGAAAGGTGGTGGTGATTGGGGCATGCATTGAAAGAAGCCTCCTTCCACATTGCACTCACTCACTCTGAGAACATGGGCCAGGCCCCATCCAGGTCTTGCCGCTGCAGATCCAAGTCGAAGGCCACCCCATTGAGAGCGTAGAGAGAGTCCAGGATGTCTTCCTGGAGTTCAGGGCACACCAGAGGGCTCCGGGGGCCATACCATTCCCTGTGGTAACAGTCGCCAACACTCTCGGCCTTTGACTATCAGCACTTCCAACCTGGAGAGTCAGCCTCCACTGCACACCATAATGGGTCTTTTCCCCCAGTGAAGGTTGTGGCCCTTTAGGACCAGAACCATGTCGCTAGCAGAACTCCTGGGTTCATCCCCCTTCTGCCCTTTCTTCCTTAACTTTTTTCCTTTTGGAATTTCCCTTTCATTGTCCTTGATATTAAACCATCCATCTGGGGTTAAGAGGATGAAGGGTTAAAGTCAAGATGAAGGGAAAATGGGTTCATACAATACCAGTGAGAAGTCAGGAAGAATTTCCAACAGGCCTACCTGGTGAGCTCTGGGTTCAGGAGGCAGAGCTGCAGGGACTCAGCCAGCTGTCCGTGGGCTAGGCAGAAGCGGATGAAGGCCCGCCCTTTCCCCAACGGGGTTTTCAACTGCAGAGTCCATAAAGGGCAGAGTAGGGGGTGGCATTAGGCCTGACCGATGCAAATGGTTAATGTGCTGGGCTGCTAATTGAAAAGTCGGAGGTTCTAGTCCACCCCAAGGCAACCTGGAGAAAAGGCATGGTGATCTGCTTCTGAAAATCAGCCATTGAAAACCCTATGGAGCACAGTTCTATTCTGACATACTTGAGGCACCAGGATTCAGAGGTGGCTGGACGACAACTGGTTTTTATTAGGTGGGAAGAAGCTCAGCCAACTCAGAGAGAGAGAAGATGGGAACTTGTGGTTGAAGAGAGAGGGCATATCAGGACTTGAGGGCTCAGGTAAAGGAGGTGGCTAGTGGGATCCTGAGGGTAGGGCTGAGAAGAATTGAGGCTCAGGTGAGGGGGGCTGTGGTCAGTGGAATGAGGAATTGATGAGAAAGGACTTTTGGACAGGCCTGTGTGTCCCCCAGCCTTCCTTGCCAAGGGCTTGCTGTCATGCCCTCTGAGGCCAGCATCTCTGCCCTGGATACCTTGTCCTGAGAGCGGACGAAGCAGACCGGCTCCATGTTCCCCCGCTGCTGCCACAGAGCAGTGCAGAGAAAGTCCCAGTAATCCTTCCGAGGTCTCAGGAAGCTCCTTTGCTCCTTCTGGTCAAACTGGGGACAAGCAGCAGAGAGAAAAGCATAGAAGTGCTTCTTCCTTGAAACCTCCTTCTGGTCCAGTGTGCTCACCTGCTGTGAGGTGTGTGTGTGTGTGTGTGTGTGGGGCGGTATATGTGGTATGGTATGTGTGTGCATGTGGAGTGTATGTATTATATGTGTGTCAGGGTGCATGGTGTGTGTGTGCTGACAATTTAGCTAAGGGTGGCCAGAGAAAGCCTCTCCAAGAAGGTGCTATTTGATCCTGGACCTGAAGGCGGTAAGACCAAGTGGTACGCCAGGCACATTTCTGGGAGAGGAGCCTTCTAAGCAGAGGCACAAGCCACTGCAAAGGCCCCGAGGTGGCAATGTGCCTGCATGCTCTGGGAAGACCAAGGAGGCCATTGTGGCTGGTATGAACAGATGAGTGACACCTAGTCAGAGAAATCAGAGAAGTAGAAGGGGTATGTGTATGTGAGTGTGTGTGTGTGTTTTGGGGGAGGGGGCAGATAGTCAGGTACCACAGAGTGAGATTAAATGAGGTGGAACATATAAAGGGTTAGGCTGGCACATAGTAAGTACTCAATAAAAGCTAGTGCTAGTTAGGACTGGGGTTCTGGCCAGCAGCAGAAGGGCCCTTGTCAGCACATCCATGCTCTGAAGCTCTAGTCTTTCCAGGCCTCACCCCACCTGGCCTTGTCTAACCCCACCTCCCAGGCTGAAATGACAGCCCCCCTACAACAACCTCGCCATTACATTAGACATCAGGATGGACTTGGTGACTCCTAGGAAGAGGAGACAGTACATAGTAACAAAGGGAGGCAGTGGCTTTTCCCTCAGCATCTGGGAAAACCTCCCATGGTCATTGGGGCCTGGAGCAGAGGGGACAGGAGAGGTGGAGAGGACCCCACCTGCAGCAGCAGCTCCAGGCAGCCACAGAGTCTGTGCAGCTCAGCGCTGGCATCTGTCACCGACTGCTGCCCATGCCCATATCCCTGGAGGATGGCAGAGACAGCAGCTACAGAGAGGACAGTAGCCATCAGACACCAGGTAGTGAGGGCTCCAAAGGACGGGCTCTCCCACACCCCTCAGTTCTCCCCCAGCTCAGTTTCAGAAAAACCCCCAAGAAAAAACCAACCTTCAAGGCCCCGGGGAACCTGAAGAAAACCCCCTCCTGCACCAAGGAATCCTGAAAAAGAAAACAGTCCCTGTAACTTGGGCCGTCCTGGCCCTGGAAGGACTCTCTGGGCTTAGCTGCCAACTTTCTCCTCAGACAAAGGAAGAGTCAGGGATCTAGAGAGGGAAAGTGACTTACCTAGGGTCACACAGTAGGTTAACTACTGGGTGAAAAGACAGAGATCTTTCTGGTGACCAGTGTGTGAAGGTGATGGTGCCGCCACCTCTGATGAGTTCCTGGGCGCCGGGCACTGTGCTAAGTGCTTTGCATACTGTGTCTCATCAGCCCCACACTAATCCAGTGAAGTTCATAGAAGGTAAGGCAAAGAGAGGGTTAGTCACAAGGTCACAAAGCTATAAATGGTGGGGCCAGAATTTAAACTAAGGTTCTTGGCCTCCACTTGATGTCCTGTGGGTACTTGTGCTGCATGGCAGCCTGGCCAAGGCAACATCACCCCCTTCTCTGTGGGGAGTCCTCACCAGGCAGTCATCACCCTTGAGACACACTAATCCTTTCCTGAGCTCAGGCTGAGGGGAAAATGTGTGTGTTTGTGGAGGGCGGGCAGAGCTCAGGCTAACTTTGTCTCTTTCTCCCAGGGGAATCTCAGCCTGTTCCTGGGGCTCAGAGGGGGACATTGTGGCCCCTGTAGGCTTATTTTGATAACCTGGGGTCAGAGCCAGGCATTGGCTGGAAAACCAGGCATCCTGTCTCCTAGACTGTGGTTGCTGGAGTGTGAGGGTGGGGTTGGGGAGCGATGACACAGTGGGAGCCGGTGGATGGGAAGGGAGAGGGTCATGAAGGTAAAGGAGGCAGGGTGGGTAGGGGTGGGGTATAGGGAGCACAGCACTGGAAGTCAAGAGACCCCGGTCTCCATCCTGAAGCTCTAGTCTTCCCAGGCCTCACCCCACCTGGCCTTGTCCAAGCTCACTTCCCAGGCTGAAATGACAGTCCCCCTACAACACCCCTGCCATGACATTAGACATCAGAAGGGACTTGCTGACTCCCAGGAAGAGGAGACAGTGGATAGTAACAACTCACTACTAACTCGCCAGTGTGGTCTCTCACCTTCTCTGGACCTGTTTCTCCTTATGTAGACCAAGGAGTTGGAGTGTGTGTCTCTGCAGCCCCTTCTAGCCCAGATCCTCTCTATGAAATCCTCGAGTATCTAGAGTGCACCTCTTCCTCTCCCTTGTCTCTACCAGAATCCTATTCCTCTAGCTCCTGCCATCACCTCCTGTTCTCCAGCTACCCCAGGGATCTTCGCAGGAGCCTCCCTGCTACTCACCGGGGAAACCTGGCTAGTTGAGGCAGAAAGAGCAGGGTTCTTGGCTTGAGCTCTTGGCTTGAGACTGTGGGTCCTAAACAATCTTCCTGAGTTTGCAGTGACTCATGCCTAGCCCGGCACCCTGGAAGAGGAAGCTGAGCTCAGAGTGGGAGGACCTACCTGGGGAGAAGGGGCAAAGGCAGGATCAAGGGCAGAGAATGGGTAGTTAACTAGTAGGTTGATGTTGTTGTTATTAGGTGCCATCGAGTCGTTTCCGACTCATAGTGACCCCATGCACAGCAGAACGAAACACTGCCGGATTCCGTGCCAGCTCCACGATCCCTGCTATACTTGAACCCATCATCGCAGCCACTGTGTCAATCCATCTCATTGAAGGCCTCCCCCTCTTTCATCGACCCTTCACCTTACCAAGCATAACGTCCTTCTCCAAGGAATGGTCCCTTCTGACAACATGACCAAAATAGGTGAGACGAAGTCTGGCCATTCTCGCTTCCAAGGAGCATTTTGGGTGCACTTCCTCCAGGACAGATCTGTTAGTTCTTTTAGCAGTCCA